TACTCATCAAGCTATATGGAAGCTCTCTAATAAGCCATGCGTCCTTTTTTCTTTTTCTTTCTTTTTTTTTTTTAAGGTACGCGGGCCTCACTGTTGGGGCCTCTCCCGTTGCGAAGCACAGGCTCCGGACGCGCAGGCTCAGCGGCCAGGGCGCACGGGCCCAGCCGCTCCGCGGCACGTGGGATCTTCCCAGACCGGGGCACGAACCCGTGTCCCCCGCATTGGCAGGCGGACTCTCAACCACTGCGCCACCAGGGAAGCCCGGCAAATTGAATTTTTAAGGTTATATCCTCACAACCTTGTCTACAAGTAGGTCGTTTTCAGCCACAGAGCAAAGTCAAGGAAGAGGTGACCTAGTCGTTCTGAGGCAGAAGCAAGGCAGCGCCTCCCCTCCCCTCCCATGGTGCGACTCACTTGTCCCCCAGGCCCCTGAGCCTCCAGCTACTAACCCACAGCCCCCGGGGCCTGGGCAGGGATGGGGCTCCTTTGTTAGCAGTGTCTTAGACAGGTTAGCGCAGGAACACCAGGCAGGAAGGTAGGGCTGGGTCTGGGAACATTCTTTCTCTTTCTGTCTCCCTCCCTGCCTCCCCCTCACGTCACCACACTGGCTCTGGGATCCTCTTCCCCAGAACATCTCTCTGCTTCGAACTAGTCTGACCTGTTTCTGCCTGCCCGCTGGCCAGCCATGGAAACAGCAGAGACCTTGATGGCAGCAGGATAAACCTGCGGAAGTCCCGATAAACATAACACGAGTGGACGGTTAATGTCTGCGCAGAAACCCAGGGGCACAGATCCCCAGCGGACGCTCTGCCCCCCGGTCTCCTCCAAGTCCACACCAAACAGCATCCACAGGAGAAAATGTAGGCGGGAAGAGGAAACGCTGGCTGGTGAGGCAGACAGGCTCTCTGTTCCGATGCCGGCTTCGAAACGGCGGACTCTGTGACCTTCAGCCCTGGGCTTCTCTTTCCCCATCTGTGAAGTGGGGGTAATCAGACCTCGCCCAGATGGGATCATGCCTGCGAGGTACTGAGTAAACCCTGTGGAGCACCCAGCATGTAACTGGGTAAGAAAAGCTCCCCGCCGTGCCCCACGTTCCACCCACCTTCCTGGAGGTACTCACAGACACACTGGCAAAGCACTGATGTCCACCTTCTGTGGGCTGTGCTGTTTCTTCTGTGTCTGGTTGGCTGGCTGTGCCTCTACTGGTGCCCGCCTGGGGGTCCTAGGATGCTTCTGCTTCCAGGCATCTCTTGGCTCACGGTGGCCAGTGGTGCCAGTCTTAACTCCCGGGCAGCGCCCACGGCAGTGTCCTGGGAGCATCTTGATGAAGCTGTTGGAGAGCTTTCTGCGCTTTTGCAGCCCAGTGGGTTCCGTCTGAACTCTTGGGTTCTAGCCTTAGCTTTGTCACTACAGTGGTCCTACCTGATCCATGATTTCACTTTCAGTGGTTCCTGTTACCCAAGGTCAACCAGGGTCTGAAACTATTAAACGGGAAATTCTAGACATAAACAATTCATAAGCTTTCAAGTGTGTACCATTCTGATCGGCGTGATGAAATCTCACGCTGTCCTGCTCCATCTTGCCCAGGAAGTGAGTCACCCCCTTTCTCCAGCCCCTCCCACTGCTAGTCATTTAGTAGCTGCCTCGGTTACCAGAGGGACTGTCCTGGCATCGCAGTGCTTGTGTTCAAGTGACCCTTAATTTACTTAATACTGTCCCCACGGTGCAACGGCAGTGATGCTGGAAATTCACATTTGCCAAAGGAAAGTCATAAGGTGCTTCTTTTAAGTGAAAAGGTGAAACTTAAAGAAAGAAAAGAAACCCGTTTGCTATGGTCGCTAAGGTCTACGGCAAGAGTGAATCTTTTCTTCATGAGATTCTGAAGAAGGAAAAGAAAGTTCTGCTGGTTTTGCTGTCACACCTCCAGCTGCAGAAGCTACAGCCACAGTGAATGATGCTCCATGAAGACGGCAGAGGCATTCAATTTGTACAATAAAATATTTTGAGAGAGACTCATTCACATAACTTTTATTACAATATATTGTTATAACTGTTCTATTTGATTTTTAGTTAACATTATTAATCTCTCACGGTGCCTAATTTGTAAATTAAACTTAATCATAAGTATGTATAGGAAAAAACATCGTATATATGGGGTTCGGTACTACGTGTGGTTTCAAGCATCCACTGGGGGTCTTGAGTGTATCCCCCGTGGACAAGGGGGTCAACTGTGTTTGCTAAGTGACTCCACACAGCTGGGCTACCATTTCCTTACCTGAAATGAGGACTAGGTGGTCTTGAAGACCCCTCCCAGCTCTTGGTGGCCTGTGATTCTGCCTTACGGTTCCACAAAGTCTCCATCCTGCCCGAGCGTCCCCCTGACCTGTGGGCAGCCCCGGCCCCTAGTGGTCAGCAGTGCTGACCACTGAGCTCTGATTCTCCCCCCAAACCCTCGGCGGCTCCTTGCCCCTCTGCGTGGCTGTGAGTGCATGTGCGTCTGCCTCATTCTCACCGTGGTTTGACTGTTACCTTCCCAGATATGTGAAAGCCGACCGGCTCCAGGGCCTCAGGGCACAGATGTCAGCCGTCACACACAGCCTCTAGATGCATCCAGGAGGAGCTGGGCTTCAAATCTCATATCTCCAGCTGTTTATAATTCTGACAGGCAAACGCCAAGTCCTGGCCCACGGTCTCCTGGTGCTCCCAGCTCTGGGTCCATCCAGCAGCCCAGCGACTAACGGTGGGCAGTGGGGTGGGTCCCCGTCAGATAGCCCCGCCGGCTCCCTGGCTCGGGGGCAGGGAGGTTGTGAGGGGAAAGCTCAGCTCGGCCTCCGTGCACCCAGTGGCTTTTGGGCAAACTTGGCCTCGACAGGCAGCCTGTGGTGGTCACGTGGCAGGACAAAGCTCCGGGTTCACCTGGCCTGGTTCCTCCTCTGAATTGGGAAAGACAGCGAGTCCTAACGGGAGATGAGCTCATGCCCTTCCTCTCTGCCGTGTTGACCTTGGCCGAGGTTCTAACTGTCCCCCTACACTCCACCCCACTTCATACCCACCCCAAGACGAGGGCTCAGGAGCCACAGAAGGTACACGATTACCTCTGTTATTACGCCCTGAATCTCGCAGATTTATGAGGTCTTCAGGTCGTGCTGACCTTGTTCCTCTCTTCTTCTTTCCCTTCCTCAGGGTATGGCAGCTGGAGAGAATTGGCCAAGGCTCTGGCCAGCAGGAACATTCCGGCTGTGGATCCAAATCTCCAGTTCTACCGTCCCCAGAGGCTGGGCCTCAAGGTACATGGCAGGGTCAGCCCGTCCTCCCTGCTGGCGCGTTAACGTGGGTCCTCGGCTTCCGCTGCCCACAGAGCCTTAAGGGCATCCTCACGTCCTGTGTTAGGAGAGGGCAGAGCAGAGGGAGTCCCTGGATGGCAGGCTGGCCTCATGGGCTCTCCTAGCTTCGTGGGTAGAGACGTCCATCGTGCCTTCCCCAAAGCCTTGTCGCATAGTTCAAGATGCCCAAGTCTGAGCCGTCCAGCTCTATCAGCAGCCTGAGCTGGACCAGCACCTCTCGCCTCTTGCCGGGATGAAGACTGGGCTGGTACATTAGTGACAGTCCCAGGTGCTTGCCGCTAAGAGTCAGAGATGATGCGGTAGAGACGACCCCTCCCTGCAAATAGCTGGGGGACAGATTTGTACTGGAGTATTTTCCCTATGGTGTTTCTTGGGCTGATGGTCCCTAGAAGCTGCTCCGGGTGGGGATTAGGGAACTTGAGGTCCAGTTCAGCCTGGAGCCCTAAGGTTGAGCCTCTGAGCCTAGAACAGACATGGATCTCCAAGGCTGGACCAGAGCCAAACTGCACCCATGGACCTGCAGGGTAGGGAGGGGGTGGGGTGTCTCCCCCAAGGGGGCTCCCACTTGTTAGGACAGATGAGTCACAGGAGAGGGAGGCAAGGTCCCTGCCCTCAGGAGAGCCTGGTCTAATTAGAAAAAATTTTTCCATATGGGAAGACAGAAAGGTCAGGAAAGTAGAGCACCTCAGGGTTGTACATCGGAGGTATATTCCTGAGGGATATAGCGTGAGCCAGAAAGGGGAGTGTCCGCAAGTTGCTAAGCCTCTGACAGCAGGGCTGGGTCTCCTGACCCTCTGCTTCCACAGGCACTTTCAGGGGGCCCCGATCCTGCTGTCACCCTAATATTCCCACCAAGTTCATTCTTCTCTGTTCTGCCAGGACCAAGAGTCTGCGAGAGGTGGAGGGGGGAACAGCAGCTACCTGAAGTGGAATAAGCCGGTCCCCTGGCTGTCAGAGGTGAGGCTGCTCTTGGAGAGGGTTAAAAAACAGTGTTTATAGGGAATTCCAGGGGCTCCAGAAAACTTTCTTCTAGTGGTTATTAAAATTTTTCATCTGATTTGAAGAAAAAAATGAAAGTGTTCCAGGCTCATTGAATTTTCTTCCTTTAGAGAAGCTCTAACATTTGCAGGGGGCCTACTGGGTGCCAGGCTTTGTGCATAACCTCCTGTCAGCCTTATGACCCTATAGGATAAAACAGTATATTCTCATTCTATGGGGGAGAAAAGCAAAGCTGAGGAAAGCTACAGGACTTTCATGTCCGTGTTGATCCCCAGTTATAAAACTCGGCTTCCCAAACCGTCTCTCATGGACCATTAAATCCCATAAGATATTCCAGGCAGAATGGAATCCACTGTTAAATATGGTTTCAGATCTATAGACATCCACTCCCTGGAAATACACATTAGCACATGAAAGGCTCTGAGTTCTGCGGTCATCTGTTTGACTTGGTTTATTAGCTAAGCACGTACCAAACTCATTTGCCTCCTGAACTACTGTTTCCCGTGAACCATTAATATTCTATGAAACCAGTGTTCTAAGGGACATATACTAGGAAACTCCACTTTAGAAATTTTTTTTTTTTTTTTTTTTTTTGTCACACACAGCACATCCCTACTGTGTGCCAGGTGCTCTGCATATTATGATATTTACTCCTGCTCTTTATTTTATTTTTTTAATCCATTTATTTATTTATTTGTTTGTTTATTTTTGGCTGCATTGGGTCTTCGTTGCTGCACGTGGGCTTTCTCTAGTTGCGGCAAGTGGGAGCTACTCTTCGTTGCGGTGCACGGGCTTCTCATTGCGGTGGCTTCTCTTGTTGTGGAGCACGGACTCTAGGTGTGTGGGCTTCAGTAGTTGTGGCTCACGGGCTCAGTAGTTGTGGCTCACGGGCTTAGTTGCTCTGCGTCGTGTGGGATCTTCCCAGACCGGGGCTCAAACCCGTGTCTCCTGCGTTGGCAGATGGATTCTCAACCACTGCCCACCAGGGAAGCCCTAGAAAATTTTTATAGGAAGCAGTTAAACATGTGAATGAAAGTTGTCATAAGCATCATCATACCTTTTGTTACATAAGATTTGACAGATTCTTTTTCTTTCAGTGAAGAAACAGAGGCTCAGGAGGTTAGTCATATGCACAAGATCACCTTGAGTAAAAGCTTGTGCAGAGACTCCAGAGCAGCGTGGTGCTTTGGGGGTGAACATTTTAAATTTAGGTTTTGTATCATGCAACTTGTCCAAGCCTTTCTTGGCTGGGTGCTGTCAGCCAGCCCATCATCTCGTCCACACCTGTCACAGGTTGACCTCTTCCACCTGGGTGATTTTATTTCCAGCCCACCCATTTGCCGTGGGGCGGGCGTGAAGGATGCGGTGTCACACAAAATATGATGGTAGGTTATCTACACCGTGAAATTGCCTCTGTTTAAACCCTGAGAGAGGATGGATTACAACACCGGCACACCTGTACCAGGTGATATCATCAGGTAATTAGGCCCTGCCCCGCCCCACCTGGAGATGGCATTGTGAAAACCATTGGTCCAGCGATCCAGCCTTCTGTCCTTTGAGGCCAGTTGGATTATTTATTTATTTATTTTTGGCCTCAGCTCTCGGGATCTTAGTTCCCCAGGAATCAAACCCGTGGCCCCTGCAGTGGAAACGCGGAGTCCTAACCACTGGACTGCCAGGGAAGTCCCTGGATCATTTTTCTTAATGAACCAATGATTTTGAAAGATTATAACTACATAATAATCTGCATTTATTAATCATTAGTTTTCTTACCTTTTTTGGCCAATCAAGGATGGAGATATATACGTATATATCTCCATGACAGCAGTGACAAATAGTAAATAGTGATTAAAATAGGATTGACTTTTTAAAGAAATAGTTGATCTTTTAGTAAGTGTGTTTAGCCTTTTGGTGGTAAATGCCTGATTTCCACTGACTTTGTCCTTTTATTATTAAAAGTGGCTTATAGGGAATTCCCTGGTGGTCCAGTGGGCCCTCACTGCCGGGGGCCGGGGTGCAATCCCTGGTCGGGGAACTAAGATTACACAAGCCACGTGGCGTGGCCAAAAGAAAAAAAAAAGTGGCTTATAAAATCCTCATTACAGTCTTCATGGATCTTCAGGGAATCACTGATCCAGTCTCCTTATCTTACCGGCAAGGATAATTAGGCCCTGAATGTTTAAATAACTAGCATATGCCGTCTCCCAGCTGCAGTGGTGCTCTCTCCTCCAGCCCGTCGTGGGCACCTCGGTTCCCCTCTCCTTACCCGTCTCCTGCCTTTTGACATACGGTTTCAGCAGGAAGTGCTCAGGTGAAGGACACACGTCATTTACTGAACATCTGCTAGCTGTCACGGCTGTCAGGTTGCACTGTTGTTGCCCCTTTCCTGGCGATGGCTCCAGAGGGGTTGACTCAGTCACCCCCCCAAGGTGGCGTAGCTACTGCAGCCCTGCCCTGCCGGTGAGCACGGACAGAACATGGGAAAGCTGACCGTGGTCTCTCCCTTGACCATCTCCCCGCCCCAGCCCTTGGCCGGCAGCTCAGGGTCTCTGAGGCCAGCAGTCGCTCTCAAGCGCAGCAGGCTTAGTCAGTCCACTCCCTGTCAGACCGGGAGTGGACGGCTGGTGGGCTGGGCTTCATGGGGTAACCGCTCTCAAAAACTTGTCCCTGTCAGCCCAGATCATAAGACACTGTCTAGCAAACCCCACCAATTAACAAACCTCAGTGCCAGTTGATTCACTTAGCAGTCAGTATACGGTCCAGACACTGTCTGCTGCTCAGGCTGCTACCCCCAGAAAACCAAAATAATTATAAGAAGGAAATTTGGTGAACGCAGAATCAGATCAAAGCAAGTCAGAGTCCGTGGGTGATGTCATGCAGGCTTGGTGAGGTGGTGTCTCTCTCCTGAGAGGAGGGCTGGGACCTTGATTCCCCTTCTCAGGCTCCCCCGGCTTTTTTCTCAAACAGTTTCATTGAGATATAGTTCATATACCATATAATTCACCCATTTAACGTGTACAGCTCAGTAGCTTTTAGTATATTCATAGAGTTGTGCATCCATCACTTTCAATTTAGAACATTTTCCTCACCACTAAGGAAACCACTCACCTGTTAGCCATCACCCCTTCACTACCCCCTAGCCCCCAGCCCCCAGCAAGCAGTAATCTACTCTGTCTCTCTAGACCTGCCTGTTCTGGACACTTCATATAAAGGGAATCGTATACTCTGTGTGGCCTTTTGTGTCTGGCTTCTCTCACTTGGCATTAAGTTTTCGAGGCCCATCCATGTGGCAGCATGTATATCAGAACTTTGTTCATTTTTTTGCTGAATAATCTTCCACTGTGTGGATGGACCACATTTTATTATCCTCGATAGATGGGTATTTGGGTTGTTTCTGCTTTTGGCTCTTGGGAATAAAGCTGCCGTGAACGTTTCTGTACGGGTTTCAGAGCGGGTCAGGCTGCCCTTTATTCAGGGCCCTGAACCACCACCATCATACACGTTGTCACCGTGGGGAGACACAAGTGACACCACAGTTCAGTTATAAACCATCTGTTCCAATGGGGATAATTCCCTCCATCAGAATTTCACCAGACGGGCCTCGGGCCCTGTCCTCCAAATCTAGAGCCATCTCTTATCCTCTTGGAGCCGGGACCCCCTGGATTCCCAGTGGGAACTCCCTCAAGGGGCAGGTGTGAACAGGAATCGAGTGGCTTGGGTGGGCTTCCCTGGTGATGCAGTGGTTGAGAATCCGCCTGCCAATGCAGGGGACACGGGTTTGAGCCCTGATCTGGGAAGATCCCACATGCCGCAGAGCAACTAAGCCTGTGCACCACAACTACTGAGCCTGCACTCTAGGGTCTGCGAGCCACAACTACTGAGCCCACGTGCCACAACTACTGAAGCCCGTGGTGCCTAGAGCCCGTGCTCCACAACAAGAGAAGCCACCGCAATGAGCAGCCCCCGCTTACCGCAACTAGAGAAAGCCCATGTGCAGCAATGAAGACCCAACACAGCCAAAAATAAATAAGTAAATAAATTTATTAAAAAAGAAAAAATAGTAGCTTGGGTGCTAGAAACTCTGAACGGGAGTCCGGTGTGTAGGAACTGGTGACCTCATTGTCCTACTGGGTGGAAATCACGTGGTCCAGCCAGGTGTGCTGGTCTCGGGCTGGCCAAGCAGCAGCATGGTCTGTGCTCACACCCGTGCTGGGCAGCTCACCTCCTGGAGGTGTACCTGGCCGCCCCACCTTCGTTCCCTCTGCATCTCAGCCTCTGCAGTAGCCCTGGCACAGGTGGCTCGTTTGTCTGCATGTCTCTCTCCTCTGAGGAACCCTTTTCATCTTTGCGTCATCACTGGTACAAAGCAGACACTTGGTGCTTATAGGATAAATGAAGGAACATATGGTTCCAGACTTAGCTTCTCCAAGCATTTGTTCACTCAGATCATTAAGATGTGCAGGGAACCCACAGGAGGGAGCTGGAACTCTGCCTGGGGAAGTTGCAGAAGCCTAGGGAGAGAGATTTGAAAAGAACCTTGAAGGGTGAGCTGGAGTTTGCAGGGTGGGGAAGAAAGGAAAGGGCCTTCCAAGCAGGAAACAGCATCTGCAAAGGCACTGTGTGCGCTGGGGTGTAGATATGACCGGGAGTGTGGTGAGGTGAGGCTGGGAAGGCAGGGTGAGGTTTTGTCCAGAAGCCTCTGGGAGCCCTCGGAGGCGTGAAGTGGCAGAGTGGCGTGATCAGATCTGTCTTTAGAAAGACAGTTCTACAGGCAGTGTGAGGAGTCAGTGGTGGGAGATGCCTCCATCCGGTTGGGAGGCTCTGTGAACCCAGCGAGGCCTGGCAGAGACCCTGTGGTGGGTGGAAGGCAGTGGACGTGGTGGGTGAGCACCCACCAGGCTGCATCCGCACCCCCAGAAGCCCTCCCACTTCCACAGGGTTCATTGCTGTGTGTCCTTAGGGGCTCAGTTTACCTCTCTGGGCCTCAATATTCTCACCTCTAAAATGAGAGCGTTCAGGGGACTTCCCTGGTGGTCCCGTGGTTAGGACCCTGAGCTTCCACTGCAGGGGGCGCAGGTTCGATCCCTGGTCGGGGAGCTAAGATCCTGCATGCCGTGTGGCGTGGCCAAAAAAATAGAAATAAATAAAAAAATAAATAAAATAAAATGAGAGGGTTCAACAGGTATTTTCTCCACTGCTTGTAGGCAGAGGTTTCCAATCCTTCTTTGGCTGTGGGTGTGTTCTGGGCGTGGGAGTAACCAGTACTCTTCCCTGGGCCTTAGCTCTGCTGGACAGTGGAGAGAGGGGGCAGAGGGCAGTGCTGACAAGCCAGAGTCCCATGTCCCTGCCCGACACAAAGTCTCCAAAGCTTGGAGGGACACGGGCCCTGGGGTGGGGGTGGGGGTCACCAGTCAGGGCCTGGGGAGGAAGAATGTGCCCACTGGTCCCTCGGGGATGGTGTCCATCCTCTCCTACAGCCTGAGGGCAGGTGGAGCATGGCTGGGGGACTGGCTCTGTGCTGAGTCAGGGCCTAGCCCCCGGGGATGTGGACAGTCCTCCCCCTGCCTGGGTTTCCCGCAGCATCTCAGGCTCCGCTGCTACATAAGCAGGGCCCTCAGGGGCAGGTCAGGGGGCTAGCCCAGCTCCTTCCTCCTTTCCCTGCCCAAGCCCTTGTAGCCTCTGGCCTCCTGGCTGAGCACAGCAGACTTCTGGGGGCGTGCCCCCCCAGTTTGCTGTGGACTCAGAGTCTCCCGGGAGGGGCATGGGGGAGACAGCTGAGTCTTATAAAAGGGACTTAGGAATTTCCCCACAAGTAGCACGATGTCCCCATTCTTTCGTTCCAAGAAGCCCTAGCCTGCCCCCCACCTACCCAGCCCACATTCTCTCTCCACCCTTCCCAGCCCCCCACTCATATTCTGGGGAGCGACGGCTGCTACCCGCGGTCCCGGGAAGAGCCACGTTGCTGAGGGGACGGGGTGACGGGCTCTCCGCATGGGGAGGGGACAGTCCTGTCAGGGGGCTCTCCCCGGCCCCTTCTCTCTCCTGTCATCCCTCCCTGCGGATCTCTTGCTGAAGCCCTTCTATCTGGGCTTCCAGTCTGGGTGTCCCTTCCTCCTCTGTCTTCCTTAAGGGAGTCTTGGATTTTGATATCTGACGGCGGGAAGGGCAGGGCCCGTTTGTGTGGCCTGATTGGGGCCCACCTCCCACAACCTGGAGATTAAGCTGGGGAGGGGTGCGGGGAGTGGGGAAAGGCTGAGATGGGGTGATCTGAAGCCCTTTGTCAGGATAATTTGGGACCTTGTCCCCACCCCCCTCCCCTCTCCAACTCCCCACCCTTCCACCCACTCAGGGTCCCGTCTGCTGCCCTTGCCCTCCCCTCCCCTCCAAGGGGGGCCCTGTGCTCCAGGCCTCCAAGCTCAGTCCCGCGCCCACCAGCCCCACAGCCGAGGAGGGGAGGCAGGTACCTCCTTGCTCCTACCTTCCCAGGGCTGCCCCGAAGGCCCAGGCACCTGGTGGGCATCCCAGCAGAGGCCTGGGCAGCATGAGGCTCTGAGCTCCCAGGAGAGCCGTCAGATCCTTTCTGCCAATGGGGCCCCCAGACCTCCTGCAGCTTTGCCAGCTGCTTCCCCACGAGGGCAGCCAGTAGCACGAAGACCACTGGTGGATGAGGTTTCACCCAGACAGCTGTGCGGGTGTCCTCTTACGAGGCGGTAGGGGAGGGAGAGCGGTCCGGCTGAAACCCCAGCCTGGCACCTCCCTCCTGCCATTCTGTCCTGGCTGTTACTCCCCCTGCCTGGGGGATGCAGACCAGCCCACTTCCTGCATGGAAAGAGCCGGGAGTGTGTGTATGTGCGTGTACATGCGTGTGAGCGTGTGGACACGTGCAAGGACAGAAAAACAGCCCCAGGCCTCAGGACCAGGCCACGGGGATGAGGTTCCCCAGGCAGCCATGGGTGCCGAGGATGGGAACGGGACTGGCGTGGACCATGACCTTCAACAGTGAGGAGCGCTCGGGCTGGGGCTGCAGGCCAGCCCCATCTCACGCTCACACCCTGTCCCTTCCCCGTGCAGTTCCGGGGCCGTGTCAACCTGCACGTGTTTGAAGACTGGTGCGGCAGCTCCATGCAGCAGCTGCGGAGGGACCTCCACTTCCCCCTGTACCCACACGTGAGTGCCTCCTCCCCTGCTCCCCTCCTGCTGCGCTCCTGGCGCTCACGCCTGTACCCCGCTTCTGTCTTCCTCATCTTCCCTTGCTTTTGTTCTGGTTCCTTCCCTTTCCTTTATCCCGTGGATCCCCTTCTAATGCCCACAGTGTCTCCCTTGTTCCCTTCCCAGGGATTTCCTTGGCAATATAGTTTATCCGGGAGGCCGCCACATACAGTTGTGGGGCTGTGCACTGTTCCAGGTCACCTGGATAAAGAAGCAAGTGGGAGCGGGAGGGTCCGCCTGCCTCACGCCCTCCTCGTCCTCCCACCAGCCCCGAGCAGACCAACCTCTTCATTTCCCCCTTCCCTCTTCCGGGTAATGATTCCCCTCTGGTTTCCTGGCACAGATCCGCACAACCCTGAGGAAGCTGGCCGTGTCCCCCAAGTGGACCAACTACGGCCTCCGCATCTTTGGCTACCTGCACCCCTTCAGCGACGGTGAGGCCATCCCCGGATCCTGCTCTTCCCCTTCCTGCCCGAGTTCTCAGGGTGCCCGGAGCACATCGCCTGCCCTGGGTCAGCTGGACCCTGTTAGCCCACCCTCGGGGGAGGGGGGGAGTTTGGCCGTGGTGAGGCCTCACGCAGGCCCCCAGGCGGCCACTTCACGCCCTGATTTGAAGGGTCTGGAAATAGCTTGTCCCTCCCTGTAAGTCTCCATCTCCACGGGGTCTCCCAGGATGTAGAGACCCCCACTTTACAAAGAGGGGAGCCCAGCAGCAAGCCCCCAAAGAGGATTTAGCCTGAGACATGAGAACCCGCTATGTGGAGGCCCGTCCTGCTCTCACCTGGAAACTGCCCTCATGCCCAGGGGAGATCCAGTTTGCCATCGCCGCCGACGACAACGCAGAATTCTGGCTGAGCCGTGACGACCAGGTCTCAGGCCTGCAGCTGCTGGCCAGCGTCGGCAAGGTAGGGTCCCCATGGCCCCGTGGGCCCTCCCACTGCCCCCAGGAGCCAGGTCACCTGCCTCCATCAGGACAGTCTGGTGTGACAGCCAGGGAAGAGGCATGAGAAGCAGCATTCTCCCCCGCTGCCTCCCATCTTACAGAGGGATGGACTGGGTGTGGCCGGGAACAGACCCAGGGAAGACTCAAGACGGGGCCACACCCATCCTGGGTGCTCTGGTCCTGATGCTGAGGATTCACGCGGTGGGCGGCTGCTGGGGGAGGGGCGTGCGGGGAAGGGGAGGTACTTCCCCAGTGGTCCCGTGTCCCCTCCCACCTCCCCATCTCCCCTCCTCCCTCCTCCCACTTGCCTCCTCTCTCCTTCTGCCTGTGTCCCCTCACTCGTCACTTCCCACCCTCCATACTTTGCCTCTGCGTCCGCCCTTCTCTTCCCTCGCTCCCCACACCTCCAGACCGGAAGAGAGTGGACTGCCCCTGGAGAGTTCGGGAAATTTCGGAGTCAAATGTCCAGGCCAGTGAGGTGAGTAGGGAGTGTGGTGACAGGAGTGGCAGAAACCCCAGCCTCCGTCAGGTGCCGAGAGGCCAGCTCAGGGCCAGGGCCCGGGCCCGGGCTCGGGGGGCACTTCCCCGCCCCCTGCCCCATCACAGAGGTCCAGCGAGCCAGGGCCACGTGCATTCAGGTAAACCAAGTCTTTGATTAGAGACCACCTGGCCCATCCTTCCTCACTTCACAGATGAGGAACTGAGGTCCAGAGAGGGCTGTGACTTAATGAGGGTCACACAGCTGTTCAGACGTACTCAGGACTGGAAAACAGAATGGGTCTCCTTTCTCCCCGCCCTTGCTTGCCCGTTTTCTTCATCCCTGCAGGGTCCACAGCTGGACCGCCGCTGCTCTTTCTGAGCTGCAGAAAGTTCCGAATGGCGGGGGGGTGGGGCCCTGGGCAGGCCGGAGGGAAGGCCCGGAGTGGCTGGGATGGGAACCATCCCAGCCCCAGAGCGCCACCTGGTGGCCTGCACACACTGGCGAGAACACGTGTTGGCTTGAAGGGGCCGGTGCTGGTGTTGATGGTAGTGAGACAGTACAGCTTGCACAGAGCACTGACCGTGCCAGCCCCCGAGGTCACCACTTCCCGTGTGAGTCAGCACAGCAGCCGAGGATGAGGGCTCTAAACCCAGATGGCCTGGGTCCAAACCCCAACTGCACCCCTTATTACCTGGGGACTTTGGGCAAATTACCCAAATTTTCTGCGCCTCAGGGTTCTTACGTGCAAACAGGGATTACGTGAGTTCATGTGTATAAAGCACTTAGCACGGTTCCTCCACACAGGTGCAGCTCTCTGAGGGTTAACAGAGAGCTGAGTATCCAGGGAGGTTAGTGCTGTTGTTATCCCATCTCACGGGAGGGAAGACTGAGGCCACCCTGTCAGGAAGCGGTGATGGGGGTTCTGACCCAGATGCTCGCCAGCAGGTCCCTGGGACCAGGAGCAGGGAGGGAGGGACGGGGCGTGTGTGGCGCTGGGAGTGGGCTCAGGCAGCGTGGGGGCCTGGGAGACAGCCCCCTGTTCCCTGCCCTCTCCTGCCAGCTTGTCAGCCGCCCGCAGGTACTACTTTGAGGTGCTACACAAGCAGAACGACCAGGGCACCGACCACGTGGAAGTCGCGGTGAGCCCCCGAGGTCCCCTCTGCCTCTGTGCCTGGCCGCCCCTCTGCCCAGGCCCTTGAGCCCTGTTCCAAATCAGCCACCTCCAACCTGCCGCGTCCACCCTCTCTCCTCTCCCAGTGGCGACGGAATGACCCCGGGGCCAAGTTCAGCATCATCGACTCCGCTTCCCTGTCCCTATTCACAAGTGAGTGTCCTGCCCCAGCCTGGGGACCGGCCAAGGTGGGGCTGGCTTGTGGGGGCCGGGAGCGCTGCTTGGGACAAGGTGTGGAGGGTCCGGACCAAGGAGCAGAGCCTGAAGGGGCGCTACGGTCGGAGGTCCTTAGCTCCTGGGGGGTCGATGACCTGTGAGCGCCTTCCGGAACCTCTCCGAGCCCTCGCCCCAGAAATACACCCGTCCGCCTCCACACGGTGTTGTCTGTATGATTTCAAGGGGATCCAGAGACCAGGACGCTCACTCCAGATGAAAAGCCTCTGAGGGAGGCCAGTCCCTATTTTGCAGATGAGCCGCCATGGTTCTCGCACGGCTGTGGCCAGAGGAGAGGAAGTGTTCTGCCCTCTCTCAGGCTGCAGTCAGTGGACTCCCCGAGTATACTTGTTGTTGCTTATGACTTCCCCCTGCCTGGAGGCCCCACTGAGAAGTCGCCACCGGCAGGTGGGCCGTGTGGGCCCAGGTATAGGAGGAGCTGGCAGAGCAGAAGCCCTGGCGAGGAAGGGAAGGTGGGTCTGGAGGAGACCGGGAGCCGGTGGGAAGGGTGTAGAGTGTGGGAAGGGAGCTGGACCTGGTGGGATGTGAGTGAACCTGCAACAGCCGGAAGGCTGAGGAGGGAGTGTTATTTGAGGGTCTCTCCGTGGCCCCCTGGTATTTCTGGGCCCTGGGGGCTGAGGGAGGGACAGAGCCAGCACGTTAGGTGAGCAGAGGTGGAGAAGTGGGCCGGGGATAAACCAGAAGTTCCTGTGAGTTCACAGTAGCCCTCCCTGCCACGACTCGTCTATCCGGGGAAGGTCTTCCTCTGTTGGAGCAAATGCTCCTCACTCCACTGTTACGCGTCCATACTGTTTAGAGGGGGCGGGGGGGGGGCGGGGGCTGCCGGTGACCGAAGCAGGAGGTCAGGGCAGAAGGGCCAGTTGGTGCCAGAAGAGGAAGGGAGATTGGAATCCATAGATTGAGTGTGAACCAAGAAAAAGGAAGCCAGGGGCAAATTCAGGTAAGAAACCAGTGAGATGGGCCAGATAACCGAGCTCTTATCTGGGGCCACCTCTTATCTGGGGCCACGGCAGATGATCTTAGGAAGCAGAGAACAGAGACAAGCAGCCAGCCCCCAGGGCTGGTCAGATAGGGGACAAGTAGTCTTGAACACCAGACCCCCAGAGGGAGGTGAGGGGTGGGTGCTGGAAGCCTAGGGGCTCCCTGCTTAGTGGGCGTGGGCTTTTCTGCTGGAGAGGCTGAGACACATGGCCTGGGTTCACTCAGCTTTTGTGTGATCTCAGGCACGTGACTTTGCTTCCCTTTGCCCAAGTTCCTTGTCTGTAAAGTAGGAATGATGATAACAGTACGTAAGCCACAGCAGCTCTGAGGATTAAATGCGCTGATATTTGTAAGATGCTTGGATCAGCGCCTGGCTTATTATTTAGTAAGTGCCCTTCCTGTGTTTTGTTAAATAAACAGACTTCTAATGATGAATTTCCAGCAGATAGCAGTTAAAACATTTTGAGGAAGAGGTGGCTTTTTCCAACTCACACAAAGCTGTGGTGTGTGCTGGCCCTGGGGCTGGTGGAGGGGGTCCAAGGGAGACCACAGGTTGTGGAGGCAGGACTGGGGGCAAGCGGGATTGAGCGAATCCCATACTGTACCAGCCCGGGGATACGGAAGCCTTCAGTCGGCCCCTTCCTGGCCCCTCCAGGAGGCAGGGGCCTGGCTTCTGGGCTGACTCTCTCTGGGAGTCACAGCTGCCCTCTGTTCTTTCCTCCCTGGGCCCAGATGAGACAGTCCTGAGGATGGATGAGGTGGGCCACATCCCGCAGACAGCAGCCAGCCATGCAGGCTCCCCAGACCCTCTTCCCAGTGATGAGCAGCCCCCGGCCGACATGCTGCGGCCCGACCCTCGGGACACCCTCTATCGAGGTACGACCTCACCGTGGACTTGACCTCCCGTCGTGGGACGTGCTGCCAGGTCCACAGATGTCGGGGAGGAGGCCTCTGTGCTACCGCAATATCCCCAAATCAGAGACTCTTTTCTTTTACTTGTATGAAATATAACATGCATACAGAAAGGTACAAAAATATAGGTGTACAGCTTTGCAATTGTACAAATCATTACAGAGCAAACATTACAGGACAAGAAATAGAGCCAGAACCCAGGTGTGCCCTCTGCAATCACATATATCGGTTTCTTATTGGATTCTAGCTCTTGCCGTCCAGTGAGAGAAGTACGTCCCCACTAAGGTGTAGGAGTCTTAAGCTGTCCAGAGTGTTTACATTTTAAAAGACGACAAAGTGTCCCCTTCCAGCCCTGTCCCCGCCATGACAACCGGAAGGGAATTCAGTCACTGGCACTGCACTAGGGGGAGGCTTCTTGGCCTCACTGGGAGTTTCTAAACCTGTTTTGAGACTGGCCCTGTACAACGATCCCAGCACTGTCCTGTGCCTCGAATCAGGCGCTGCGGGCGAGCTCTCTGCCTCCAGCTGCCCCTGGAATCCACCCCCACCCCCAAGAGTGGTGGCAGCCTCCACTTGGTGGCCTCAGCTGCCGGGCTGGATGCTGCCACGAGTGAATACAGAAATGTGTGGGCTTGGGGCCGCAGATCCAGCCCTCGCCCCGCAGCCTGGAGGCTTTGTGGCTGTGAGCCAGCCTGTTTCAGGCTCCCTCACCCAACCTCACCCCGCCTCCTTCTGTCCCAGTGCCACTGATCCCCAGGTCCCAGCTCCGCCGCGTCCTGCCCGACTGTCCCTACAAGCCCAGCTACCTGGTGGACGGGCTTCGTCTGCAGCGCTACCAGGGACTCCGGTTTGTAAGTCTCGGGCCAGGCAGCAGGGACAGGCATGGGAGGGGGCTCGCTGCCCGTTGCCGGGACTGCAGAGGCTGGCCCCTCCTCCCCACGCCACACGCCAGCGGGTGGGATGCCTCCTGGGGCCCAGAGAACCGGCATTTCACTGTGCCTGGCCCGGATGGGCTGCCCTGCGGAGCCCAGAGCTGTGCGGGGAGGGCTGGCTGAGGCCCCCCACGCTCCGCCCCGAGGGTGGCGGTATTTATTAAACTTATAGACAAGGCGCTGGTGAGGTGAAGCTCCGCTTTAGAGAACCCCTAGCCCACACGGAAGCCCCAGGGGCAGGATCCTGCTGCGCCCCCGGGTCCAGAGGTGACGGCGGGAGAGGCTGGGGGCAGCCGTGGGGCAGGGCTGAGAAGGCTTTTGGTGGCCGAGGCCTCGAGCTATGTTGAAAGGGGGCAAAAGACAGTGCAGGGAGTAACGGGTTGTCTCGGGACTGTGGGAGGTGGCAGGAGAGGGAAAGGCCGCAGGAGGGGCGGGGTGGGGGGTGGGTGGCCTCGGCTGCAGCTGCGGAGAACGAGCCAGGGCAGGAGACAGGGATGTGCACACAGGGAGCTTGACTCGGGCACGTTCGGTCCAGAACCCAGGGGAGGGCACGTCAAGGGTGGGGTGGAATCCAGATGCTGCGTCCACAGCAGCCCTGCTCTCCGCCTCCAGGTTCACCTGTCCTTTGTTTACCCCAATGACTACACCCGCCTGAGCCACATGGAGACCCATAATAAGTGCTTCTACCAGGAAAACTCCTACTACCAGGATAGGTGAGACACTGATGGGGCAGGAGCCGGGAGGGCTGCCTGGGCCAGAAGGGCCACAGAGACCCTCCACCAGGGAGCCTTGGCGCTTCCTGGATGCTTCACACAAGCACGCGTGCACACACGCAGCCTCCCCCCCTGCACCCCCGGCCGGGTGTGACCTCAGGCTGCCCCTGCCGCCCCCGCCGTGGCCTGCAGGGTGCCCATGCCAGCCTCTCTCACTCCTGCAGGCTCAACTTTCAGGACTACATCAAGATTGACCAGCCTCCGAAGCAGGGGCCAGAGCAGCCAGGTACAGAGTGACAGCCGAGCTTCCAGGCCAGGCCGGAGGGTGACATTCCAGACTGTGCCAGCCGCCCCCTC